TTAGAAATTGAATAAAAATCACCGCTTTATTAATTGTAATTGTTTCCTCTTGCATTGTGTGATGTATTCAAGTCGTCTTTGGCTAGATTGAGCTGAACGGAGGTGAATTTGTAAAGGAAAAGCTAAAAATTGAGTGTTGATTTAGCCGAATTGAGGTAAGTATTTTGCCTAACTTTGTTGAGGAAATTTTTCCTCATATTTTTTATTATTTGCTACATGCGGGGGTGATACATATATGAAGTGACGAGTATATATGTATGTGCCGGGGTTAATCATGCTCGGGGGTAGATCATGTTATAATTGTGTCTTGTAGAATTATGTAACCTCCTTGCTTCATGCCTCACTTGCTTGACATATACTAAGAAGGTAGTATAAAATGTTAGAAATCAAGACTTAGCCTAATATAACTTGATCAAATTTGATAGAATTCTGTGAATACAATGATGTGTCTAGTTTGGTCATCTCTATGCGTAATCACTACTACATTGCTACGGCCGATATTTTGAGATGCTGGATTCCATGCTTGTGTTGTTGATAAATTGTGGGATTTATGGAAGTACTTGATTATGTGGCCCTTGAGGGTTCATTGAATCAATGTTGGCTTGGAAAGCAGTGATTGAGACTTTGTTGGAATATTTGTTTGATCACTCTCCTCTATGTTGTTTATACTTCATGCCTTGTCATTTTATTGATATCATATGCTTGGTAAGGAAGATTGTAAAATACGGGTGATGCCGTGCCATTTCATATACATTATCATGTGAGGAAGAGTGTAAAGCACGAAGGGTGATGCCGTGCCATTTCATTTATATTGTTATGCTTTTAATATTGTGAGGTCATGACACGAAGGGTGTTTTCGTGCAGGTGAGGCTGAGGGACATCCGTTATGATGTGATATCTACTTTCCGTGTATACATTTCCGCCTTTCCTTAAGCTGTTATTGTCGCAATTATATATTTTGTGTGATATGTTGTTATTGTCCCGTACTTGACATCTATCTCAATTGTTGTTGTGTTGTCCATATCTTTTACTTGCTTAACTTGCATATGCCATGCATATTTTCTGCTTTTAAAATTATACTTTTGTCATACCTATTCTGTTGCACTCTAGTTTAAGCATTCCATCATGCTAGTCATTCATGCCCTTACTTGTTAACTTGTAAGGATCATGTGTTTCCTTCTTATTTGTCATATTTGTACTTAGTCCTCCAATATACTAGTTAATTGACGTTGATATCCCTTGCTTCCCAATTGTTGTTATTATTCACGTGCTTTCCGTTTAGTCCTTTACTATTGCCCACATGTATATCCTTGTCCATTGTTGTTACTTGCGTATTTCCTACTTTGTAATTCCTGTTATTGTGTTTCTGTCATATGGTTAGTTCTATTATACATACAGTTGCAAGGATGAGTTGAACGCACGAAGGGTGTTGCTGTGCTAATTGATTTGTTACATAAATTTATTTATATATGGTGAGGATGAGATAGAAGCACGAAGGGTGTTACCGTGCCATGTGACTTGATATCTTGGATACACTTCTTATACCAGGAAAGATTGTAAATCTTCTACTGTAATTCCTGCTAGTAATTGTTGACTGTCTCACAGTGTTGTATACGGTACTTTTGTCTATTATGTTTTGAACTGCCTATACTGTTAGTCTAATGTACAGTTTATAACAAATAGCATCTTTCAACTAAAAACCTCGTCACTACTTCGACGAGGTTAGACAAAATACTTACCAGTACATGGGGTCGCTTGTACTGATACTGTACTTCTACACATTGCATGCAGATTTTTGGAGCGGAGCTGCTGGTGACGTCGGGTGCTGATTCGGAGGATGTTCGTGCGTTTGGATATAACTTCCACTTGTCCCTGGTTGCTTAGGTTATTGCTAATATGTTTATGTAACATTCAAACAGAATGTGAAATTATTTGTATCAATTTTTCTGTTAGTTGGCTTGCCTAGCGGGTTGAGTTAGGTGCCATCACGACTTGTGATTTTTGGGTCGTGATCGTGACAATCAGATATCATTCAATGAGAGAATATTCTCTAACATTAAATGGACAACCGTTACAGAGAATATTTACATTCATGGCCTGTCATTACATATTCATCAATGACACTTTTATTATCATTTATGAGGAGTTTGATCCTACGATCTTGCTTCCCTAGATAAAGCTATAAATAGTAGGCTTAATAGCCATTGTAAGGGAGGAAATTCTTTGCAAACATATGCTATATTTTACTTTTGCTTTCAATCAAACAACTTTATTCTTTTTTAGCATTGCTTTCACTTTTGTCCTCGGAGACATTGTGCTCGAAGCCAGGCTTGTCATCTTGTTCAACTTTAATTGCTAAATCTCATTTTCAATCTTATTTCTTTATCATTTTTGGATCAAATCAGTTTGGTTGTCTATCAAGGGCGGCTCAAGAACATTGGAGACCTAAAGCCAAACTTTATTAAGGGGTCTTACACTTTAAAAAGAAATTCATATTAATTTGGTTCATGTTTTATTTTTGACATATGTGTATTTCGTTAAATAATTAAAAAAATCAGTAATGGACTACTAATAGGTAAAATATAAAAAATAAGAAATTTCAAATAGAAAAAAAAATATAGAAAGTTAAAACAATAGAACTTGATTCTAGAAGTTTATAACTTGACATCAGAATAAAATTTTATTGTTTTAATTTGTTTGTTGTAATGCTTAAGAACATGAGAAAGAATAAATGAAAAATACTAATTTTAATTTACTCAATATCTTTCCTCCCTTGATTTTTTGGAGATTAGACAACTTAGTAGTAATTAGAGAAAGAAAAGTGAATATAAAATACGAGTATTATTATGAGAAAAAAAGGAATATTAATATTAGAATGTAAATTAACTATTAGTCACCATAAATCACATTGGCAAAATAATCAATTTCTTTTCCTTGAAGATCTTATACTTTTTTTCATAAATATTTAATATTTTTTAGAAAAATTACCACATAATTAGTATATTATTAGTTTAAAAATGGGGCCCTAAAAATTTGGGGGCCTAAAGCCACTGCTTCATTTGCTTGGCCCTTGGACCGGCACTGTTGTCTATAAACCACGTAACAATTTTAACTGTACCGTTTTACGGGTAAACATCATGTAAATTACGATTTAATTTATATGTTGTTATATTTTATTGAAATTTTAATACTTATACTCATAAATTATACACGTTCAAAACACGTGTGCACAACTTGTCTTAAGTATTCAAAATTCAAATTCAGATATACCTTGATAATTAAATATGTATTTTCATATTCAAACAGTTTAATCTAAAAATAAATAAAAAAACCGATCCCAGCTAAGTCTGAGAATAAATTTCGTTTGAGTCGAAAGAAAATTTTAAAATTGGTGGAAAAGAAAAAGAAAAATTGAAAAAGTTAATAGTATAGAGGGTCACACTTTCCTCACTATTGTGCCTTATCAATGCCTAGTTGTATTTGTTGCTTTGTGCCGCATGCGGTGCACGTGTTCTTGATTAGTCTTTTGCTAATAGCCATTTAATAAATAATAAGAATCTACTTAACAAGAAATTGGGATATATATATATATATATATATATATATATATATATATATATATATATGATGATGATGATAATTAAATGAATAATTTCCATAGATTCTATCCAGTTACTTGGGCTATTCTAATCAAGAAGATATCTATATACTGAAAAACACATACTAATAAGTTTTAAAATGCGTAACGAACATACTTTATATATGGTGGGTTGATGATTTTGTTGTAAATGACAATCTAATGAAGCTGAAGTATATATATATATATATATATATATATAAAAACACATACTAATAAGTTTTAAAATGCGTAACGAACATACGTTATATATGGTGGGTTGATGATTTTGTTGTAAATGACAATCTAATGAAGCTGAAGTATATATATATATATATATATATATATATATATATATATATATATATATATGTGTGTGTGTGTGTGTGTGTGTGTGTTCGTATAAAAAATTCTATTAAAGTCTTAATAAATATTAGATTTGAACCCATAATTTTAACAGTATAATGAAGTTAGTGTAAGTTTGAACATATTAAATTTAAATTCTGGATCAGCCTCTGTCCCGTGTATATAAACTTAGACTTTAAAAATGATTCACTCAATATTCAAATTCCCTGATGAGTATGAACTTAAATATTTTCTTCTAAGATATTTAAATACAATGTCATCCTTTGCTTAACAACTAATAAATCTCTAATTGAGCAATAATTACTCCACCTGGCATATTTTTCCTTAAGTCCTGTAGCAGAGCAAGCCAAATGTGAATGCAATTCAAAATGTTCTACATGAACAAGATTATTGGAATCAAAGCTCATTAACTGAACACAAGAGAACAGAAAAAGAGAACAGACCACAAAAAAAAAAAAATTCTTCTCTGCTCCCAAATATTGCTTTTGGCAAATTAAATTTATTTCAAAATATTTGACTTTAAAAATAAATGAAGAAGTCATTTATTATTGTTTTTTCAAATGTATCCTCACTGCTCCATTAGTAAAATGTTAATAAAAATAAGACATTTAAAAGAGATATAAAGGATAATTTAGACAAATACTATAACAACTATAAAAAAAAAAAAGGCAACTCGGTACACAAAGCATTACATGTTCACGCCGGGTCGGAGGAAGGAACACACCCAAAGGTATAATGTAGGTAGCCTACCCTGATGCAAGCATCCGTACTGATTTAACATTTATAAATATATTTATTAAGAAGTGTGCAATACTTTCAAATTAAGAAGCATGTTTTTCCCCTCTATAAATTGTGTATCCAAGCCCAATCTCTCAACTCCTAAAACTATCACTCCTTCTCCTCCCCCCCCAGCACCTTACATACAAAGCAAAGAAAAGCAAAAAATAAAAAAGAAACACTTTAAGACACAAAAACAAACACATACACAACATGGCTAGGTTAAGGGTTTCTTGGTTTTGCATGATGTTATTCTTGTTGACAAGTTCAGTTCTAGCACAAACACAAGGCGATGATTATGATTACGATGATGCATTTGCTCCGGAGCCAAGTCCATCAGATGATGGATCTCCGGCTCCGATAGTAGACGATATGGAGGCTCCGGCACCAGCACCGGTGCCGGAGGCTGCTCCATCAAGTGGTGAGGAGAGGAGAGCTTTGGTGCCAGCTTTGTTTGCCTTTGGAGACTCTTTGATTGACAGTGGAAATAACAATCGCCTATTTTCATTTGCAAAAGCAAATTATTTCCCTTATGGCATTGATTTTGGTGGCCCTACTGGACGTTTCTCTAATGCTTACACCATCCTTGATCAGATTGGTAACTCATTTCATTCCTCACTTTTTATTTTATTTTATTAAATAAATTTAGTTTTGACTAGTGCGGTCCTTTCTCAGACCCTGCTAGAATGGGAATACTTTAATCATTGGCTGCTCCTTCTTTTTTTCTTTTAATTTTGGTTGGTTTTTTATTGTCATCGTTATTATTGTTGCTGTTGTTATGCGTCTCTTAATTTTTTCTTTTTTGTTAGTGTGATTTAATGTGTCATTTTATTCTCTCTTTCATTTTTCTGTTTTTTGGTTATTTGTCACTCTTCAATTTGTGTTTTTGGTTGTTTGTTTTGTTGCCTTTCCAGCACTTAATCAAACAAGAAGAATTTATCTTTTTTTCAGTGACTTCTTATTTTTGAACCGTTATAAACCAAAGTAACAATTTATTGGGAGTATCTGTACTTCTTTTTTGTTTTCTAGAAATATTCAAAAAATAAGATGCAATTGTAATTTTTTAAAATGTGTTACTCTTATCTTCAAAATAAAAATTAATGATGGTGAGATTTTTTGTTTTGAAAAATAAAAAGGAATTTCCCTGTTTATTTCTGAATTTGAGATAGACTATATGAATCATAAGTGTCAATTTTAGGCATGTTTATTTTTTGTTAAAATTTTATTTGGGACAAAATAATGTTTTTCTTTAAGTGATAGAAAAGGTTCCATATATTTTATGAAAAAGAAAGATAATAGAAAAAAAGGAAGCAAGCTAAGTACTCGAGGAAAACTTATCGGCAGTCAATATTTGAACCATATCAGATTAATTTATCACAATTAAATGATTAATTAATTTGAAGATATACATTAGTTAACTTGGTTGGTAAATGTTTATATATGTGAAAACAAGTGTCATGTGTTTATTGTTTGATTACATTGACTTAGGGAGCATAAGGCCAATATAAGATTCAAATTCACAATGTATTGACTATTTTGTTTTCACTTTATTTAAGACAAATGGTAATTAATGCCTAAACCAAGTCTTTGAAAATCAGTAGTATCAGATTTCACAAAAGAGCTCTCTCATTTACAATTACTAATGGACAGTGGCGAATTCAGAATTTTAAAGTTAAGGGTGCTCGCCCATATAATTTTCGAAAGAAGAGACGAAAGGATTCTAATTGCGGGTGCTCACTCAATATTTATCTAAACATTTTTATAATTACGTATGCAAATTTACTAAATCGGATCAAACGTAATGGGTGCTCAAGCACCACATGTGTCTATGTAAATCCGCCACTGCTAATGGACCAGAGATAATTCCATGGGAATAAATGGCTTACATATATGCCTCGACCCAAGACTCACCCTGGGGCTCGCCAATTTCATTTTATTCTTTTAATTATTAGGAACTAGAATATCATTTTCACAATTCCATGTATGTTCCATCATAGTATGTTATAAGTGTAATGCATCTTTACCTTTTTTCACTTTTTCAAGTAAAAATATCTTTTGTAGGGTTCGAGCTCATGTTAGCTTGTTTATAGAAAATTTTCCTACTAATTTTATAATTTTCTTTTATAATTTTAAGATATTTTTTAATTATATGTTTACACTATTTATCTATAAAATATTAATAACTAAATACCTGGGGGACGGCTTACGTCCCGCGTTTCAAGGCTTGCGCCTCGCCCCGTATTAGATAAAACACCTCGCCTCACGCTCACACCTTTTAAAACACTGGTCTCAAGTACTGATGATCTTGGTTATGAAATTTAATCGTTAGGAGAGCTTGATCAAAATTTTAAATTAGTGGTTAAATATAGTGATGTTCTTTTGTGAAAATAAGTTTAAACGTACTTTTAATTACTTTTTATTATGTAAAAATGCAGGTGATCTTCTGGGATTGCCACTGCTTCCACCATATTCGGAGACATTCAACGTCGACAAAATGCGTTTCGGAGTTAATTATGCTTCTGCTGCTGCTGGTATTCTTGATATTACGGGCTTTCACTTTGTAAGTATATATAATTAATCAACTCTCTTATATATATATATA